ACGATCAAGAGCTTTTGAATACAGGGGTGTGTCAGAGTCACTTAAAATATCCTTCCTCTTGGGCTGTGAGATAACCCCCAGTGCCCTTCCTCACCCCCAATATCACAGATGTCTATTATGTACACTGGCTTGGTTATGGAGAATTCGAGATCCATGTGGGGCATAAAGGTAGCAACTCAAAAAACACTCCGTGAAGGATTGGGAATTTGGCAGCAGTGTGAGACTCAGGGGCAAAGAGGTGAAAGTTCTAGTCTCTCAAATCCCTTCAGAGATGTGGGGAGGGACACTGAGTTTTCCACCCATGTGGGTTGCGGTTGGACCCCAGTCTGATTTTCACTTGACAATAGTAGAGCACAGATGATGTCATCGCTGAGGCTGAGGAGACAGGATGTGGTTTGGGGCGGTGGGGTAAACAGAGGTTTGGAAGAGCAACTGTAGAGAGTAGGATGGTAATGGATACAAGGAGAGCCCTGGATCTCCCAAACCCAAACTTTGGAAAACCATTCAACCAAAGCCTTTGCCACACTGGGTGAATGCTTTCAGCCAAGGTCTACAGCTCCCCGAAGGCCTCTCTTGGAGGGTGTGGCAGGGAGGTCAGAAGAGGGCGCCAGGAACCAGAGGCCGGCAGGGAGCAAGCCTGAGGGCCTGAGAGGTGGAAGAAGTGGTTTGAGGCTCTGAACATCAGCCCGTGAGAGCACTTTTTGTATTTTATGGCCTCTCCAGTGCCTAGGACAGTATCAGGCACTTAAGAAGGACTAGATTAATATTTGTTCAGTGACTGCAAGAAAGAAGGTCCCTGGATGATAGTAACTTTGCTGCCCATGGCCCTGCTGGTTTCCCGTTTACAACCGGTGGGATTCTTCAAAACTGAGCCAAGGCCCTGAAAGTCCTGCTGTCACTGCGGCTCTGTTGCAATCACAGAGCTAAAGTATTGGTGAGTGTGGGGAGTAGGGTGGAGAAGATAACAGAAGTTGGAAGGCTTAGGTTCTAAGTGTGTGGCTTCATTCGTATCATGAGCTGAACTGTGTGTACCTCCAAAATCCTCCTGTTGAAGCCCTAACCCCTACATGTGACTGCATTTGGAGAGAGAACCTTTAAAGAGGTTAAATGAAGTCATATGGTGGGACCTAATCCAATGTGTCTGGTGTCCTTATAAGAAGAGGAGATTAGGACACAGACACACGAGGGCCATGTGAGGACACGGGGGGAAGGCAGCGATCTACAAGCCAAGGAGAGAGGCCACAGAAGAAACCAACCCTACTGACATCTTGGGCTTGGACTTCTAGCCTCCAGGACTGTGAGAAAATAAATGTCTATTGTTTAAGCCCCCCAGTCTGTGGTATTTTTTATAGCAGCCTGAGGAAACTAATACAATGTGGATACCAGCCCTTTATGGGTGGGATGGGGTGAGATATGCACAATTATAAGTAGGTTTCCTCCCTTCAAAGAAAGAGGAAGGACGCTGTGACTTCTAGGGCAGGGAAGTGCTTCTTCCCTGGGGAAGAAGCTGTTTGTTTGTTGTTTAAATTTACAATCTGTTGCAGGTCAATATGTAAAAGAACACAATGAAATGAATTATTGGAAAACATATTAGACATATAAAACACAGGTCAACTGTTTTCACACTTGGACATCACTACAGGTCAAATTGTTATAAAAGTTTCTAAATGCTTGTTCTCAGTGTCTGTTCTTATCTCATTTTGTGCAGGTAACAAGCAGTTCATGACATCACTTCTAGCTGCCCTCACTTTTAGTAGCATTGGACTGAGACAATCCCCCTCGTTCTTGAAGTCTGACTTTAGAGGTCAGACAAAGGCTTACCTGTGCCCAGCCAGGAGCTCCCAAGGGGCCCTGCCAGCCACCTTTCCAGCGATGGGGCCCTGTGGAGGTGGCCAGTGGGTGGCTTGGCTGTCTGCAGCTGGGGGGCCTTTCACTGCAGTAAGGAGAAAGCAAGCGGGCATCCTTCTCTCCCAGGAGTAGGGAGAGGTGAAGAGGCCGAGGGAAGAGGAGGAGAATCCAGATGATGAAAAGAAGACAAAACTTCTCTAGCTAAGCACAGCAGCCATTTTAGATCTGAGGGCAGAGTCTAAGGTGGCTTTCCTGTCGAGGGTGATCCGAACTCCACAGGACTGCAGAACGTAGCTTGCTGTGGTATGAGTAAAGGCGGTCAGGGAGATGGCACAACACGACACCTAGCATTTTCTTTCAAGGGGATTTTCTGTTCTTCTGCAAGTAGGAACAGTTTTAACCCTATGGACAAAAAGCCCAGCTCCTATTATCCTGATCAGAGAGGTCTGTTGAGACAGTGACTTGGGGAAATTGGTGATGGTTCAGAATAGCAAGAGCGAGGCGTGGGCCTGACCAGGGAATGATGGAAGAAGCATTGAGGAGTCACACTGGAGGCTCAGTTATGTTGAGACCAAGAATTCGAAGGAACTTCAGTCCATAGGAATGAGTGAATTCCCCCAGAAGCTTCCAACCCCTGTAGGTGGAAAAGAGGAAGGAAGTAGCTGGATTGGTCAGCAAGAGAGTGGCTGAAGCGCTGTCCCATAAGCTCTATGGGGGTAGAGCCAGGAGGTGGGTGACAAAGGCCTGCTAAGGGCAAAACAGAGGTAGTGGGAGGAAGGGCAGGAAAAAAGCCAGCGATAGAAGGCTGTGGCCTGAGACTTATCTCGCAGAGCTGAGGTTCCTAGAGCTGAGCATGTCGGGGTGACAAGGCCTGGGGGCAACGGGCAGGGGACTTAGTTTGTGAAGTGGGGTGCAGTAGACAAAAGGTGTGGCGTGAAGGGACTTTGAGGCCAGATTGTGGGCTGGATGCCATACAATGTAGATGTTAATTTAGCTGAGATTTCTTTGCATTTTCCGTAGTAGCTAAGGAGGCACTGGAATATAGTAAGTTGATCAGAAACACTGAGTCATGAATCTTTTATTAATTGATATAAAGGACTCTGAGGGTCCAGTACAAAAGTTCCAGTTACCTTTTTTAGAGCTTTGAGTAATTCAAATAGGTTTTCTGGAGGACAGAGCCTATTTGACCATACAACTCATGGAATCATAGATATTAACGCATGATCACTTTTAGAGGTAAGGTAGTCCCCAAGGTCAAAATTGCCTGGGGCAGTCCCATTTACTCCTGTTATCCTGTGTCCCGTTTCACTTCCTAAAGTGTCTTGCTTTGGCTGATAAAATATATATACACAGTCACTCCCCCTGTAGGCCACCAGTTCACTCCCTCCGTTTCACAAATGTGGACAAACCGATTTATTTTCCCTTTACTTGCAAAGATTCCCACATTCCTCTGGAAAATGAAAAAGTTAGTGAGAGGTTTGATTGTCCTTGTGTGCTTATTCATATGTTCAAATGAAGTGGCATTTATCGAATACCTTGTACGCCCTTGCAGGGACCCAATAAACGTGAACCCACACATTCCATCTGAAATTTCTTTGTGCTGCCCATATCCTGCACTTTGCCTGAAGAATCTGGATTTCAGCCCATGACTGTGGTGTTTGACAATGTTTATTCTAATTTATTAAAATAACTTGGGCAAGCCCAGGGTGATGGTTAATTTTAGGTGTCACTTTAACTGGGCGAAGGGATGCCCAGATAGTTGGTGAAACATTATTTCTGAGGGTGTTTATGAAGGTGTTTCTGGAAAAGGCGAGCATTTGAGTTGGGAGACTGACGTCTCCCACCAATATGGGTGGGCATCATCCAATCCGTTGTGGGGCCCAGTAGAACACAAAGGTGGAGGAAACGTGAATTTACTGAGGCCTCCATCTTCTCCTGCCCTCAGACATCGGTGCTTCTTGTTCTTGGGCCTCCGGACTCAGACCAGGACTTACACCATCACTTTCCCTGGTTCTCAGGCCTTCAGGCTGGGACTGGAACTACACGCCGGGTTCTCCTGTGTCTCCAGCTTGCAGATGGCAGACTGTGGGATTTCTCAGTCTGTAGAATTGCCTGGGCCAATCCCTCATAAATTTCTCTCTGTGTAGCTGTATATATCCTATTGATTCTGTTTCTCTGGGGAAACCTGACGAACACACCCAGTGTTCACATACAGAGAGATCTCCACTCTGTAGCCCACATCCATGCACACCTGATCATTTGGACTGAATTGCCGTATCTGGCAGCCAGCAGCAAGCTTTGAGTGATTTTGTTGGCAGAATTGATCTGTCCTATTGATGTTCAACATGCATTGGCTCAGTCTTTGCCTCTTGATGACAATACAGTCTCAGTCCCAGTTGTGTCCACAGGTGGCTCTTTCACCTAATTAACTCCCAGTGAGGAAACCGCCAGCTTCAGGTCACATAGTTTATCCTTGCCTCCAGGCAACCCTGTACCTAAACATGAATATTCTAAGAAAGGATAGTTTTCTGCCCACAGATAGTAGATTTGATCATTCCCGACTTCAATAGTTCCCCCTAAGTGTTGCCAACATAAAGCCCAAATGATCAATTTAGCCTAAAATGAGGAAGGAGAGTCCTCTGAGGAGGAAACTGGCTATTCAGCATCAGTATAGAAAAAAGCTGATGGGTGGGTTTCCTTGTCAGCTGGTTCTTTCAGGCCTCCATATGCTTAATTCCTGATTCATGCGATGGCATTGTATTTCCTTTTCTACTTTATTCGTGGCGATTGCAACCAGCCAGCCACCTTTTCCCCTGCTGTCCCCTACTCAGGACTTGTGTTTCTATGGAGCACAACCCCTCCCCCGCCATGGACCGGGAACCCCCTGCCAGCACAGACTGCTTGTGGCCCACCCAGGTGGCTGGAAGTGGGTGGGAGCTGCTGGGGCTTGGAGGGCTCCCTGCAAACCCACGGGATTGTGTTTAACAGTCTTGAAGAGTGTCCCCTTGGGCAGAGGGCCAGGAACAATCTGGGTAACCCACTAAGCTAATTACTCTCTGCAGATGGTGTCCCCCACTAATCCTCTTTGGGGTTCTTATAATGCAGCCCCATCCTGGGAGAGCTGCCGGGTGGCTAGCCTCAGTGCAAATGGGCCGTCTGCTTGGGCAGAGGACGCAGAGGAAGGCTGCCAGCCTTGTGGCCCCTGGAGGTTCAACCAGCTGCGAGGAGAGAGGTGACATCCAGAGTGGCCTGGCTTTCCTCCGCTGCACGTTCCCCCTGGGGCTCCAGGGGCTCAGGGAGCCGGCCATGCTCTTGTGCTCCCTGGAGAACGGTGAGTCTGTGTCCCTGGGGTCACCCACCTGAAGGCGGTGTGTCTTGGCACTGGGAAGTCACAGCCGATGGGGAGGCGTTTCAACCTGAGACTCTGGGAGGGATGTCTTGAGCAGGATGCTTGTGATGATGCAAGATTGGGGCTCTTCCCCCAGCCTGCCAGGCTGTTTGGTGTTAGGTCATGTTTCAACACGGCACAGCTGAGATTCAGGCTCCTGCTCGTTGATTTATGGGATGTTAATATTACAGCCCGTCTGGTTCTCCCACCTGGACCTGGAGTGTGAACAATGCAGTCACTGGTGCCAGACAGGGAGAAATCCCTCCTGAGGACCCTCCTCCAGTTCTTGGAGTGGTGGTGGAGGTGGAGGGTTGCGGGGGTGCAGGGGTGGGGGTGGGAACGGACCCCACTCCTGTGGGGTAAAATCGGCCATGTGGGTGGCTTGGGGGACATGTTTGCTTCTCAGAGGATCAAGACTTTAAGAGAAAGCTATCAATTGCCTGGGCAAATATAGAGCATGGAATGGGGTTAGGGGTCCCTAGGTATGACTTCATTGAAATTTCCCTACCGGCTTCAAGGTTAGCATCATTTCTACAAAAGAAGAAAGTAGGGTGCGCAGAGATTAAGTTATTCAAAGTCCACAAATTCAAACTCGGGTCTGTCTGAAACCTCTTCCGTCCTCACTGCTCTTTTTCTCGTCATCCCTGGGTGAGGCAAGCACCATCCTCCTCTCTTGGATTGGCTGGACAAGAGGCCGAGGCTTGGGGGTGGGCGATTTGCAGAGGGCACGTAGCCCGTGAGGACAGGCCCTTGGCCAAGTCCAATGTGATTGCCACTAACTGTCTCTGTGCCTTGGTTCTGTACCTTCTATACCCCACTGCTGACTCACTCTACACTGAAGGCTCTCTCCGCGTAGGAGGAAATCCACCCCATCGTGAGAGAGAAGGGGAAAAAAGCCACTGCCTCCCAGCAGCATAGCCATGGAGGCAGCCCTGGGAGAGCCCTGGTCCCCTCCCACAGCCCAGAGCACACTTCAGACAGTGAGAACATCTGTTCGGGGCAATCCCCAGAGAAGTACAACCCACTTTGTCCTCTATTTACACTCTTAGATATATAAACATCATCCAGGAATCCTCTTATCAATTGTGGTGACTTCAGACAGGGCTGCTCTCTTTGTCTAACACTGGGGGGAGAGAGAAGAACTGGTTGCTATTTTCAGCTCCGTGGTGCTTCAATGTATGTTTGTGTAAGTGTGTGTGAGTGCGCATGCCTGCAGGTGTGTGTGCATGTGTGTGTGGATGGTGTGTGGGTGGTATGTTTGTGCACACGCTGGTTAGAAAGATCTGGTGTTGTGAAGAGGCCACTGGACCAGCATTCATAAAGCGTAGCCCTGCCCTGGCTGGCTGTACGATGCCCCTGCTCTCTGGGCCTGGCTTTCCCAGGTGGGATGTGAGTGAGTTCGTCTAAACCAGCCATCGCTTCTTTCAGGGCAATTGACTATGTTCGCAGTGTTCAGCAGCTTTCTCAGCTCCAAGAAATAACCCCAGTCCCTATAACCTTTCCCTGTAAAGCACATTTTCCAATCCTTTAATCATCTTGGTTGTTTTCCTCTGAACTCCCTCCAAGATACCTATGTCATTGGATAAGTATGTCACATAAATTAGTCAGTAAATCAATCTGTCAACAATATCTCTTGAGCAACCACCCTGTAGCTTGCAGGAGGTGCTGGGCTGATACAGTCCAACCACAGAAACAAAACAGAGTTTTCACTCTGGCTCAGACCAAGGGTTCATTTGTCCAGCAGTGGCCGGAGGCACTGGGGTCATGCTGGGAGGGCTTGTTCCTTTTAATGCCATCATCCCCCAACGATCAGGTCCTTCCCCCAACATCAGTGTCTGAAAATGTTTTAAGTAAACATTTAAGGACACCTGCTCTGTTCAGGGCCCCATGCTAGGCTGTTCAAGGGTTACAAAAATCAGGGCGATACAGGCCCTGACTTCCGGGATGAGAGGCAGGTGTATGAGGTAGAAAGAGTGAGGATACAGAAGCAAAGAGGGGCCATTGGAGTTAGATGGGGCCTGCTCTGAAAGGTTTTCTCTCGGATGCAGCATGATCAATAACAAAGTGAAATAGCCAAAGGAATTCAGAATTTGGAGAAAATTATTCCTTTCCTTGAATAGTGGTTTCACCAGTTATTAGCTAGGCAAACTTTGGGCGACTTATTTAAGCTTTCTGAGCCTCAGGCTCTTTAAGGATAACATTGCAGGATTACACCTACCCGGAAGGATTGTTTGAGCTTCGATGACATCACATTTGGAAAGTGTCTGGTGCATATTAGGCTATTCATGTGTATAATCTCCTCTCTTCTCAACAGCAAATTACAGATATCAGCTTCAGAAGAGCCTTCAACTCTTCTGGTTGGATGTATAGCGTTGGCCGTCCCGCTAGCTGGGTTTCTAGATTCCGTTAGGTGATGATGTGTGATATGCACAATAGTATTGTCTCTGCTTATTGATCCTAAAATAATTTTCTTCAAGGTTGAAGGGCAATCTTTTATTTATAGTCTAGCATATGATTCATGATTTTATAGTCTTAGTTTAACAGCTGTGATCTTGACTTTAATCTTTATGGTTGGGGAGGGTCCATATTCTTTTTTTAGTTTAACCTCAATTTTCTGTATTCGAAAGAGCACTTGACCCTTGGTTGAGACCTCTGGCTAACCTGGCAAGAGAACTTTGGACAAGTCACTGAAGAAAGATCCAGCTGTGGCATGCAGCAAATGCTTCTCAAATGTGTGTGTGTATCAGAATCGCCTGGAAGTCTTAGTAAAACACAGACTATTGGGATCCACCCCGGACTTTCTGACTCAGGGAGTCTGGGTGGAACCAGACAATTTGCATTTCTGAGAATCTCCTGGGTGATGCTGAGACTGTGGGTCCAGGGCCTGTTCGTGAGAGCCGAGAACCACTGGTATAGAAGAGCAGCCCTGGAGCTGAGTGGAGCGTGGCCAAGCGAGTTGACCCTTTTTAGCCTACTTTTTCATTTATAAAATTTGTACCTTACAGATTAGATTTAAAGGTAATAATTAGACAAATTATGATGCAGAAAGCACTTTATACACTATAAAACATAATATAGCTATTAATAGCTTAATAATCCCCATTGATTTTAGCTTATATACCTATAAAATGAGGATAATTATAGTAATTTTTATAAAGGTTAAGTGAGATGGTCTATATAAAAACAATTAGTGGAATATAAAGAACTATAGAGTCTTGTTCTTATAACCCCCCTCGGTTTCCTCATCCATAATATGACAGGATGGCCAGTGGCTTCATCCTGTGTGCAGCCAGACTTGGTTATATGGTAGTTCATTATTCTAAATGTGGATAATGCTAATTTGTATTTAATAGCCTGCTGATGCTGCCCTGTGTTCTGTTGGCCCCGTTGGTCAAAGCTGCATGTTGGGCTACTTTCTGTTAGATTGCTTCTGGCTGCAAGAAACAGAATTCCCAGCTAAAGGTAGCTTTAAGATATGGGGTTTATTGTCTCATCTAACAAGTTCATAGGCAGGGTTCTTTCAGGGCTGATTAATTCAATGCTTGACCAAGTTAAGACTCTGGCATTCTCTTGGCTTTCTCCTCATGGTCACATGGGGGCTGCAGCAGTGCCAATCATCACATCCACATACAACAACAATGAAAATCAGAAAGAGGTGAATTCCTAACTTGTATTTCTTTCAATGGATAAAAATACTTCTTAGAAGCCAGTTATTTGCCAGTATTGTATCACGTGCCCTATGACAAGGGAAATGGAATTACATGATCAGCTTAGAATAGTCAATATTCAACCTCTGTGGCTGGGAAGAGGAACAAGAAACAAATGCTCACCCAATCAGGCTTCTGTCAACAAGTGAGAAAGTGATGCAGGAATGGCTGACAGGAGGCAACCAGCTGTGACTGCTGCACTCCAGTGTCTCTTTCCAGTAAGGATCACGTCCATAAGGGCTTTACTTACACATCTGCCACACAACATTGTGCGATCTTCCCATAGCTGGGAGCACAGCTAGAAAGAGCTCCCAGCAGAATCTTGAAATGCTGTTTCAAGTGGTATTTGTGAATCTTCACAACAGAAATCGAACTCTCTAGGAACCAAGCACAGCCATCCAGCCGCCTGTCCTGGTGGGGCAGGTCTAGAATGTCAGGGCCAGACCACAGCCCAGTGGACTCAGAGGCCACAGGGTTTTTCCCAGGCAAAGTGCTTGACCTAGAGGATTCATAAATCAATGTCATGACATTACTCTTGTGTGTAGTGCTTCCTCCTGAATCTAGCATAGCGTCAGCACCACAGCAGGTGCCTGACAAATACCAACATTTTTTTTTTCTTAAGAAAGAAGCTCTAACTGTGATAAAGTAGTTTGGTCGACTAGTGGGAATGGGGAGAGTGAAGAAGGCTTTTGTAGTAGAATAGGTTTCCGGGCGTTGTAAGAAAGTTGCATCTGTGGGTTGTTCCAATCTCATTCTTCCTCCTTCGTAGGAGCTTTGCGAATCCATTAGAATTGCGGACTCAGGGGTTTTCGAAGGGAAGGGAAGGGAAGACCCCCACCAGGTTTTTATTCTAAGGAGCTGGCTCCTGTCTGGGCCCAGGCATGGCCATGCAGCTCTGAAAGAAAGCAAGGCCAGGCGGGGAGGGGACAGCTGCAGCCTCACTGCCCTGACCTTTCATACCTGCAGGGTGGCTATCTTTGGCCCTGAAACCCCTGTCCTAGCTTCTATTAAGTGTCGTGGGAAAACTGTGAGGTTGAGACGCTTAGGGAAGTCTCTAGGGGAGGTACAGGCAGGATGAAGGAAGATAAACAGTGAGAAGGTGGAAGATTGTATCCAGTTCCCCTATGTGTGTGGTGTCTGTCCATGCTCAGCAAAAGTGGTTTTTCTAAATGAGTTCCCAGCCAAGTCTCTTACTCAGTTTAAGAATCAGAGTATGGCAAAGCCAAAGGGAACTTA